CCCCAAAACCCCAAAACCCCAAAACCCCGCATATTACTTTGAGACATTTTTTTATGTGATTATAAATATTTTATTCAAATTTTGAAGGTGAAGTGTATTAGTTTAAATTAAATGCTAGACTACCAGTCCTGCACAAATTTTTTTTGATTCTTTAATTTAAGGGTTCAAAGCGCTTCGTGTTGTTACCTAGTCCCAGTCGTATTAATCCCAACGATTTCAGATAAAGGCTAAGAGATATTATCAGCTTACAAAAGCGCTTATTGTTAATCCTATTCTTTTTATCGTTACTACAGCAATTCCTATTTCTTTTGTTCGATTTTCTATTTTTTTATAAACTTTTACCACCTTCGGCCTTATTCAAAATTGCGTTCATACTTTTTAAGATCATCATATTCGATACTTTGGTCTGCTAGTGCACTCATTATTGCTATTGTCCATGTCTTCTAGAGTTACTTAGGATTTTTTTCAAAGTTCATTATTAAAAAAGGCTGGTAATCTGGATACATATTTCTTTTAGCATTATTTTTACAGTAAAACATTCCATATTTTGCTTAGAAAAAAGCATTTATAGCAATTTTAGCTTTATCTGGCGCTTCAAAAAGAGGAATGTCATAGTGATCCATAAACAAAAAGACTTCAGGGGAAAGTTTTTTCTCATTAATATACTTTTCATATACTATGAATGGATTCATTTGACCACACTTTTTAAGGAAATTAGTTTTCATATCGAAGATATTCCCATCACACTATTATCTAACTAGACATTCATACTTGTTAGTGTAAGTTTCATCAATGATGTTGTTCAACTTATCTCTATTAGGCAAAGGTACAGGCCTCTCCTACAGTTCCAATTTCTCTTTATTGTACAAAAACTCGAAAATCTGTCTGTACTAATCCTACTTTAATTTTTCGCCTCAACGATAGTTTTAAAAGCATTCAGGTTCAGTTAAAAGTTGTGATGGAAGTAACACTTTTGGTAATTCATCGATATTTTTCTATTCTTGCTATTATGCTTTAAGTTTTTCTGATACTTTGCTCTACTTAGATTAAAAGTTTTAGGTCTACTTCTATTGATGATTCCACAGATTTTAATTACTTTTTCTTTATTCCTGAATTGTTCTATCTTTCTATTCTTCCGTCATTGGGGCCACATATTTTAAAGCTTATTATGAGACAGGAATACTCCTTTAAGTCTCATTTTTAGATTGTGTTTAGTTACTACTGAACATAAAGATCATTCCAGCAATTCCAACTATCGCTACCCCTAAACCAAGCAGAGTACTTTCACCATCGCTTTTTTTACTTGTAGAATTTCCTCCAAATTAATAATTCGGCTATTGATACTATCTCTATTCATTGGCCTTCCCAGATATTTTCTCTTATATAAAAGTGGTATCATAAGAAGTTGACTGCCTGAGATTAAATTTTTATTTTTCCAAATCCTCCTGTTGCTGCTTCTTTTTTAGTTATACTTCCTCAAGTCTTTTTTCATCTTACATCAATTGAACTTTCCTCATAATCTCAAAATCCTCAATGTCTATAACTTTTTATCTTGAAGTGGCGTGCTACTTGTCAAACACCTTGCGTGCTTTATCATGATCATAACTATAGCAATTTTTGCTTTGTTTCACATTGTTGAAGATTTGAGCGTTCATCTATTCATACTCCTTAGATTCATAATATGTTTATTAAGTTTGGCTTTTTTATTCTTAAGCTCTTCTGGATTGATCTTTTTTCCGCAGTAGATCTCTTTCTTACTCTTACTGCTTTCGTTTGAGCTCCTCTTGCTTTTATTTATGCTATTCGAATTTCCTTCTGAATTCAGCTTCCTCCTCAATCTTCCTTCTGATTCGATCCATAACAATGTCTTTTGCCCTTTGCTCCTCATAAACCTTGTGATCCATTGACTTGTATTGATTCTTTGGAAACCCTTTCGCGAGAATCTGATCATAGGATTACTTAATCTCATAAAATTTCTAAGCATCTCCTTATTTTCCATCTGGATGATACAGCTGAGCCATTTTTCTGTAAGCATCTTTCAAATCTTATAAAGTGCAGTCTTGGGAAACTCTTAATATATCATAAGGGTTTGCCGAATGCTTGGATGAAAAGGACCTAGCTTGAGCTAATTAATGTCTGAAAAACTATGGAAATTAGTACATTTTAATATTAAAAATCACATATTATCAAAGTTGTAATTAATTCTATCAGTCTCTATTTCTCGCAAACTCTTAAATATGTAATGTCAAACCATCAAGAAAATAAAATAAAATTTAATGATCATCTCAATATATTTTCGTTGGCTTAATTATTTTATTTTTCTTGAACTTAAAAGGTTTTCTGTATTTCTCAATTTAATCAAATGTAATCACCCTGTCTCCAAGAGCACTAAGTACAGCTAAATGCCATATTTTGTTTAGCTATAAATTAATTAATATTTATTTATCTTACCTATTTGGGGGACTTCTCCCATTTAGATATCATTACTGGATCAAAATCAGCTACACCGAATGGTGTATTGCAATAAAACATGGCATATTTAGCCTAAAAAAATCCATTAATCAATATGTATGCTTCTTGTGGTGCTTCAAATAGTGGTATCTCATAATGTTTCATAAACATTGTGAGATCTTTCTCGATCATTCTCTCAGTTACTACTTAATCCCACAATATAAAAGGATTCATTTTGCCACACCGATCAAACACACCATCTTGGTATTAGTTGAATTTCCCAGGACAATAATTAAACGAAAAGCATTCATTTTTCTTATTTCTGTATAAATTTATTAGCTTTGCAAATGTAGCCCTTCCAGGTACACACAGCTATTTAGTTTATAAATATTTCAACTCCTTATCATGGTAATATCTTTGGCATTCTCTTTTTTCAGATGTAGACAGAGCTTAATTACTTCTAAGCTTTTGAATATACTCTGGTTCCTACTCTTAAATTTTCTCCTATTTTAATAATTTTAGTGTACTCTGATTCTAATTTAAATCACTACTTTAATCATTTTATTTTGATTGCTACTCTTTTTCTCATTGAGATTAAAGCTATTTTTATTTATAAATTTTCTCCTTTTCATTTTAATCCTTAATTAATTACAATCTTGATAATTCTTAATCTCTTTGCTAATCATTTTTCTTTTATTGTCTTTATTCGATAAATGATATTATTCCTACTAAAAGAAATAGTGCTATAATTCCCTTTAAAATACTGATTTGTTATCTTTATGCTTCTTCATTTTATTGTTAAAATCTAGATACATTTTGTTAAGGTTCACTAATTTTCTTAAGATGCTCTTTTATGTGATTTTCATCAAACGAAATTTAATTTGTAAGCTCATTCTGAATTCTTTATTTTTCTATATCTATAATCTACTTTTTCTATTCTTCTACTTTAACTTTTTCTTGTTGCTTTAACTTCATCTCTTCCTAAAAATATGTGAAATCTAACTAAATGTCTTTGTTTGCATTCTAACTTTTCATTTTATTCTATTGAAATTTATGAGAAGAATTTGCACTCCTATTTTCTTAATTGATGCTTTTAAAATGCTCATTCATTTCCTGCCAACTTTAAAACTCTTTTTCTTTTTAAAATTGCCTAAATCTATGCATAAATTCTCTATTTTCTTCCTGTAAACTTTCTCATGCTCTATCTCTATCTTTTTCCTTTTAGAGTTTTATTAAGTTTTCCTATATCATTTTCTCCTATTCTTACTTTTTAACTTATTCCTCATACTTCTTTTTGTCCATTTCTGCCTTAATTCTTAATCTAATCCTCAGCATAGCTTCTTCTTTTTCTTTATTTTATCCTTATGATTAATTATCACTATCTTCAACAGCAGGATCTTTTTCGAATCTCTCCTTCAAAATTTGATCATATGAATTTTTAACCTCTAGAAATCTTTTTGAGTCACCTTATTTACCATCTGGATGATAAAGCTAGGCTAACTTTCTGAATGCTTCTTTTATCTCTTGCTTAGAGCTTTGCTCTGATATTCCAAGAATTCTATAAGCTTCAATATGTTAAGTAGAAAAAGATCTCAAGCCTAGTTATGACAAATAGAATATTCTTAGATTTTTATATTTGAACATTTATATTTAATTCTCTTATTTATAGATTAGACATAAATTAAATTAATACCAGCTTAATGGGGTTTTGGGGTTTTGGGG